AAAACTTTTCAACAATTTTTCGCTAATATCGCGAAAACTAAAGCTTTCCACGAAATTTGTATATGAACAAAATTGTTCAGAATCATGTCCGTGATAAGATATTAAAAGCGCACTAAAATCGAGAAAACTTTATTTCAAAAGTTGCCGGTTTTTTTGCAATAACAATACTTTGCAATTAAAAAATGAAAAATTTGTTGATAATGGTACCAATGGGGAGTCAGAACCTAACAGATGCAAAAGGTTTCGTTCCGATTGGTCCATCCAGCTAGGCGTAATCGGCGGGCACACATAGGAAAAAAAAAAAAAAAAAAATATATACTGATCGAATTGAGTAACCTCCTCCTTTTTCGAAGTCGGTTAAAAAGAGTTTCGAATACTTCTTATACTGCATTATATTTCTCACGTATCGAACATAGACATAGACATATCAAAATTTAGTTAAACTATGTATGTGATACTAACAATAAAGGTTATATTTTATTATTATTTAAACCATAATACCATATCGAAAACGGGCTGTTTTATCTAATCGTAATAATTTGATCAGTTACTTACTAAATTTAAACTAATAAAACTGACCTGTAAAGAACTGTCGTATAAACAATAACAGCTGCAAGAAAAATTGATAAAAAACAAAATATGGCGATATATAACATATATTTTCAAAACAGATTAAGAATGAATAATGCAAAATTTTCGTAAATATCATTGTCATTAAATCTGTTTCCCCAATTCATATTGCTGTCATCACTTATTTCACTACTTCGGACTATGTGTTAGTAGTTTTTGCCAGTCATGGCAAAAGACCTATGCCATAATAAACGTCTATTTGTCGAGACAGTTGATTAAATTGTTGCATTATGATCAAGAGAATGCTTATCAGCCCTATCGCGCACTCATTAGCTTTCATTATTTAAGATAAACATACTGAATAGAGCAGTCTTCACGAATGAGTATATTGTTCTGTTACAAAGTAGGTAAAATAAGAAAATATATACAGAACAGAAATAAATAAAATAATAAAATCTGCAATGTCTTCGAAACTTCATCTTAATGATAGGAGGATAACAATAAATATAAAAAATTGTCATTAGAACAAATAAATATATTTGAAATGTCACGATAAAATATCTTTGTTATATTCGATTATATTGTAGAAATATACACGTCTTGTACACAAACGATAAAAATAAGCAATAAAATTATGGTTAAAAAAAAGGGAAATTGCTGGTGAATCTCTAAGTGAAAATTGATTTCATGTCTCTTTTTAGAGTTGTCTATCATGCTTAAAACTATTTACAAATAATCATTTTAAAAACGTTTCAATAAAGCCTAAACTTTTATAAACAACTTGTTAAGTTTGCGCTTAAATATTTTCGAAGTAAACATTTACTGTACTTTATTCAATAAAATACTCGTATTTGAACAATGGAAATGAGACAAACCGGAAACCATTTACTATCAAATTAGATACTTTTTTGTAAAAATTTCCAAAGTTAAACATTTTCGCAACACAAAGTTTTCAAACTTCGTAAAACAAAAAATTTATTTAATAATTAGTTTAAAGATTTGAAATGTTTCGAAAAGAAGAATTTTCCTTTTATAACGTACCTATATTTACACAAATACAATTTCTGCAAAAGTTGTACATGACGTACTTCAGAGCATAGTCGAACAAACAATTTTTCCACCAATAAACGTAATCACTAGCTTTATTACATAGTATTAGAAATCTGGATGCTATTAATATCACTGGTGGTATGTTACAGGTGAATATATTCTCAAGTCTGGCGATCAAAGAGAAAACGCAAGCAGCGCGGTCGAAGAAGACGATCAGCTTCTCGCAGATGCGTCGCTGGACCTAAACAATCATCCGTTAGCGGGATTAACCGATGATTCTCTGGGATTAACTGACACCTTAGAGCTTGAGAATGAGTTTTCCTCGGACTTACTCGGAGGTGGCCTCTTAGGAAGTGCTGGAGTCGATGGTCTACTAAACAACGATACTTTGGGTCTTCCCGACGGATTCAATCTCGAGGAGGCGCTTCAACTCGTTGGCCTCGATGAAGCTCAATCAGAGGTTTGTACAATTTTTTCATTTCTTTCTATACTTAATATTAGAAGTATAAACAAGCTCCATCGGTATTTTTCAATAATACATTTATTAACCCTTAACACTCGAATTTTTACTTTTTACTTTTTAGTTGCCACATGGCAACTTTAAATCTTCTAAAAAATTTTTTTGGAGTTCTTTGAAATTATTTCTATACCTTTACAGCTATTATGGTTGCATATTCTCCGTTTGTACATCATATGCATAACACTCTAGATAAAGTGTAATCTCTAAGTGCTAACTCTTAGTTAAATATCTCTTTCAAATTGTATTGAACGGAACGGTGAGTGTGGGTCACCTTTCGAGTGCAAAGGTTTAATATAAGAAACAATACAACCATTTAAATCAAAGCATTTTACTTTCAAATCTATTATTTCCTGTTATCATTTAGGAGTCTGTGTATCGTTTTGTTATACAAGTTGAAGTTTCTCGTTCAAGTAATTGAATCACTCTTTGCATTCTATTGTGATCGCTTAACCTTTCATGCTGGTTCGATGTACATGCGTTCCTCAAGATACATTTAACGGTTCTCTTTTTTATATTCAGTTAAAATTTGAATAATAGATTTACTCGAAAGATCAGATGACATGTAGATTTCCTTTCATGAATATTTTGAATAAATCAGTACAAAATTTAACGAAATCGTCTAAATTAATTACTGCTTGGTGCAAAGTGAGGTTGGAACTAAAATTGGAGGTTAAAGTTAAAATTGAGATTATTTATATTAAGAGATTAGTTTCGTGAAAGGAATTGATAAAGTACTATTTTATGACAGATGAGTATTAATAACAGTAATAATGGGCAATAATTTGCCCATCGATCTGCCCATCGAATATTTATTTTGACGTCAACTGTCGTAAATGATTTAGACTTCACCCACGATCTCGTGCATGCAGAATTAACGTGGTATATTTTTTATGTTTTAAAAATTTCATATGTTTCATATATCGGCATGCATTTAAAGTATTTTAAGAGTATGCAAAAGTGTTTTAAGAGTACAAATCAATGATTCAAATGCTATTCACCGTAATCTTTAATCAACTGATGATGCACTTTTTCCGTGTGGATTTTTTTCATTGCATGCAACCAATTGGAAATGATAGTTTGAGTCACTTCAAGTTGTAACCTATTGTTGTAGAAGCTATTGTGCGCCGTTTTTAACGCAACCGTAAGAACTTATTTATACTTCTGATATATTAAAAATTGAATTAATAAGATTTTCGATTTATTATACTTACTGTAGAATTCTTTGAACGTGACTGTGAAAATTATGAAAGCTGCTGAGTTTTAAGAATTTACAGAAAAAAATATCGGTGCAGTGCGTAGCAGAAAAAACTGAAAATTAATATGAAATTTAATTGAAACCAAATCATATCTTACAATAGTCAAGGCTCAAGTTCAACGTTTAAAAAATTTAAATTGTATGTACGTTAATTACAATTTTAAAAAATAGGATTATCGATATTTCTCAGGAACTATACATTGTATAATTCTAAAGAAAACAAATGATTATTTATTTTCGTAATTTTACATTGATTTAATTAAAATCTTTATTAATAATGCATACAAAATTTATTGCACCATTACCTACAGTTTATAAAAAATTCTTGAATAATCAATTATCAGAAATTAATGATATGGTAATTATTAATATTGGCATGTAAACAAAAAAAAGACATACTTTTTATCAACTGTGGTTAAATCTACGATAAAAATATTTGCTTAATTAAAGGTAATTTATTTTTTTATTTTTTAGTATAAATTAGTTACTACAAACTATTTACGAAGTAATTCCTACTATTCGGTATTTAAAAAGTAAAGATAAAAAACTACATTTTATTCCTGAAACAAATTCTAAAATTACCAAATGAATTTTAAAGATCTACATTGAAAACAATATTTGTTCAACTTTGCTCTTTCCGAGATTAAATCCAAAATGCCCCACTGATTCATAGTGTCACGCTCTCGAAATACTTCAAATATCAGATCTGACACAATTGAATATAAGGAAAAAGAAATCAAACCACTTTACATAAAATAAATTCTATGTAACATTATTATGCTTGAAAATGGCATTTGATTAGTACCGAGAAGCGTAGTGTTCAAAGATCAAATTTAACGCGTCTCATAAAATTTTCAGTCGCGAAACCAAAAGTTTCAATTAGTAAAATTAATTCTATATTTGTGATGAAAAATTAATGAATTGAAACGGGTGTTCATTCACGGCACATCGAGTTAAGCATCTCAGGCTGCTTCCCGGACGTTCGTCTTTAACGAAAATATGACATCGGCCTTATAATGTGAAAGCTGCTTAAATAGGAAACGAAGTCGGAAGTAAAGAAGAAGAAAGAAGACACCGTCGACGAATCTTCGAGTGCAAAGGAGGAAACGGCCGTTACTAGTTCGAGCACCCCCGAAGTCTCAAAGTCACCCAGGTGCGAGGATCCAGAAACCGGCGACATGATTCACACACCGCAATTTCATCATCCCCATCATCCGCATCATCGTTCCTTCCAGGTATGTACGATCTTGATCTTGTTACTCTTAGATCTTAATCTCTTCCCATACTTTGACGAATCTCACTCGTGCTCATACTTACAGCTCAAGTGTGACAAACCTTACTCAAATCTTGAATACCTTCAACTTAAAATTTAGGTCCAACTATAAGTTGCATGATCAAGGATCCTTGAATATATAATACTCAGAACATTTCAATTTTTTTTTCGTTTCCATGTTATAGTTCTGAATAGCTAGTCTTGACTGACGCATCTGATAAATAAATAGCACAGGAAGGGATTAATACGCACGAGCGCGTCTGAACTCAACCAGGACATTTTCCGAACTGCAGAAAAACGCACAAGCTGCAAAAAAAAAGAAAACGACAAATAAATGCACATAGATTGGAGAACACGAATAGATCTCATTTTAACAAAATCAATAACAATCTTGCAGTTATTAAATTTTTATCCAAAATATGTCGAAAAAGTCACTTCTTTATTTTTTTACTATGACACATTCTACCAAAAGGTCTAAAAAAATTAGATAATAATTATGTTAATACCTTTATATTGCAAGAAGAAGAAAGTGGTCGCTTATGTAAAAACCAAACAAATTGTATGCTTCTTGAACTTACACTATCAGCGCAAATAAACATCCGTGATGCACATGCGTCTGTTCGATATGTTCGCCTTGATTCGCTTCGACGTGCTTAAATTACAAATATATAAATATGCAAAATGTTTTTACGAACATGTTATCGTTGTAACGTACGCTGTTGTACGTAGCTTGTGTAACGTAACTGCGAGCAAAGCTAACATTTATTAGAGGTCGAGAACGAACGATTATGTGCGCTACGAAAATGCAGGTAATTTAATATTAATTTTGAAGTACTTAAATATGTTTAGTCAGAAACTACATTTAGTTGTTTACTGCATATTACAAACTTTTCATATCGCGCTTTTCAAGTGTTTTTGAAATAACCTGTAGATCAGTGATGAGTAAGTGGATTACGATTTACACATGAGTGAATAGCATGCATTCACAGATACTCACACGTAGATACCTCCTATATGTGAAATATTTTTAATTTACAAATTTGTATGTTTTGAAATATATAATTTTAAAAGTTTTCGAAATTGAAAAGGTATCTCTATATTTTTAAATTTTTAAACTTTTATATTTCTAAATTTCCGAATTTTCAACTTTACAAAATCCCAAACTTACAAATTACTAAATTTCAAAGTTTCAAAGTATTAAAATTGTGAAGTTAAATATTTTACAAACTTGTAACTTCTATTTTCTGAATTTATATGTTTTGGTATTAAGAAACTTGAGAATATCGACGTTTGAAAATGTAGAAATTTCAAATTTCTATATTTTTAACTTTGCACAGTTGAAAATTAAAAAATTGTGTAGTGTAAGCAAGTGAAAGTTGAATATCTTCCAATTTCCCATTGTTCCAACGAAGCACCAGCCATTTTGTATGAAAAATATTGGTGAAATGTGTCAGTAGTTATTTTCTTGCCTTAAACTTGAAATCAATATACCCTAAATATATTGATTTATATAGCTTATGTGTATATTTATAAGCTATTTTATTATACTTTTACATCCACAAATTACGTCGAACTTTCTACGCATAAAATAGTCAACTGAGTACAAAATATTTAGTAATTTTTTCCTAAATTTTATTTTTATGTAAGATGACATGAATGGAACAAGAATTGCCTAAAAATCCAATAAAGTCAATATCACAATAAATTAATATTGATTAGTATTATAATAAATAAAATGTTATATAAAATAAGTTGGCTAGACGAATTGTTAAAAAATGATATCAAAACTTGAAAAGATCAACTTGTCGTTATATAAATTTTATTTTATAAGGAATTGTATGAATTATATAAATTCTTATGAATCAGTTTTACAAATTTGCATAGACCGCTTTAATAGTCATCAAAAGAGATTACTTGGTATCTATTCGATAACACTTTTCACTGATTTCAATGTTAGGCTAGTCTCGTGTTATTTCTGATTTAATGTGGTATTTTCAAGTACTTTAATATTTAAGTTATTTCTTCGTGTTTTTAACCCCTTGCCGTACTATGACCTGACACATGACACTTTTTTAATATTCTTCAAATTTTTATATATACTTTTTTAATATACTTGTTTTAATATCGAATTTTTATATACTTCAATTTAAAGTTCAGATCATAGTTTGCACGGTCAAGGGTGAATACAAAATTAACATAACATTTGAATTTTCTTTATTTGTTTTAACTGCAATAGTAAATAGTCCGATAGAATTGTTATAAAATTTAAACTTTATTTATTTATTTTAATACTGCAATAGTAAATAGTCAGGCAGAACTGATATAACATTTGAACTTTCTTTATTTGTTTTAATACTGCAATAGTGAATAGTCAATCCTGCTTGACACACCTAATAAACTATACACAAGATTCATTTGTTCTAAAACTACCTGACAATTTTTTTGTTCTAAACTAATCCCAAACTTCACAGCTACAATATTAAACAGAACAAAGAAAGTTGAAATGTTATGTCTACTGACCTCTATTATTATGTCTATAAAATGACTTGTCAAATGCGTCAGACAAGACTCTCCACTGCTGCAATATTAAATTAATAAGTAACCGAACAAGTTAAAATGTTGGGTCTATTAATGACTATTGTTATGTCTATTGATTGACTTGTCAGATGCGTCAGACAGAAGTGAGGGACAATGAAGGTGACATTACTGCTGTAGAATTAAAAATGAATAAGTAAACGCGCGAGTTAAAATATTATGTCTATCGATGTCTATTGTTACGACTGTTGATTTATGTTAATATTGTAACAGTGGGTAATTAGTTCTCACTGACGTTCCCAAATAAGTGGTACAACCTAAAGAATTAGTTAGTTCAATCTTAGAGCAAATGAACCTTGTGTGTAGCATTTCGTCTATACTGCTAGAAATAATTAGATACTGTTGGTTAGTAATAATTAGTGAGTAAATGTAATAAAAGTGATAGTAGAAGTAAAACTATATAATCTCACTACAACCAACATAAGAAGCATATCACTTTTTATCAATGGCTATAAAACTAAAGTTCATATGAACATTAGCTCTTAAATGTTTTATTAAGGAGTTATAACTACTAATACAAAATTATAATGAACTGGCATTTCGTCGATACACTGTACAAACGTATTATGAATATCTCTATTTCTGTTTACATAAACTCTTATGTCTACTTGTTCTGGTAGTTGATATCCACATTTCTTATTAACGATTTATTAACGAGTTAACATTTCAAAATGACGTCCGTTGTTACGAATACGTACGCTGTGTCGACGAAATACAAGTTCGTTATAATTTTGTATTATTAATTATAACTCCTTAATAAAACATTGAAAAGCATATGGTCATATAACAATTATTTCTTACTTTTGCATGTCGAACACGCTGGCAATGTTTGGCCGGAAAAAACTGGGACGCCCTGCATATTAAGTATAAGTGTATATACAGGGAGGTTCACTACATTTTGCCATCTAGATTTGTGTCATTATTATTACTCATAGCAAACAATGTTTTAGATGAAATTGAATGGTTTTGAAAGGGGCATATGCTGGTGGTATATTTTTTTGTAGGTGGACGTGTAAAGGACATACATATGAAGGTCATTAATGGGTCATTCCACGCCAAATCGATCACTTTTGGAAGTCACCATCTCCGATTTTGCTCTAATCGAAATATGTTGTAGTCCATGTGAAATTAGGGGGGGGGTTTAAGTCATCATTTTGCCGGTTTCGAATTTGTTAATGAATGACAGGTCGTCAAAATTTGCAATTTTTGCCCGTTTTGGCGAAAATGGGGTCCACTTGGGAATTTTTTTCTCAGAAACTACTGAACCGATTTAGCTAACTTTTTTTTTGTTTTATTCGTGAAGGTTTGGGCTATTTTAAAATATTTTTTTTAACTTTGTCAATTTGTTATAAAATGTTGAAAAATTTAAACAAATTCTTTTTTTGCGTTTTTCTCAATGAGGGGCGTAAAGGGTTAAAATTTAAAAAAAATA